ACATCGAACCGAAATAATCGAGTTTTTTAAAAGTAAAAAAAAAATATAATCGAACCGAAACTTTAGTTCGATCAGTTCATTCAATTTCGTGTAATCTGATAGTCATTAATGGAAATTGAAAAACTACTCATAACTGAAAAATTATACATCCTAACATAACCAGAATAAAATTATCGATTACATTTATATCATAAACTACTCATTAAAAATAGAGGCGTGTGAGAAACAAACAAGAAAGCACACTGTCGATGAAAACCAAATGCATCAGGTAAATAACGACGACTAAACACATCTAATGCAAACTCAGGACCGTCATGGATCACAACAGGGCGATGCCAAATAATAGTCAAAATCTTATGACAAAATCAAAGAATCAGAAGCCTATCAATTGAATAAAAACAAATGAAGCACGGGCTAGATGAAAAACACACGAAGCACGGGCCGAAGAAAACATATACTGAAAATATACTACCTATACATACAACATATATTGACGACATCTATACAAGCTCGTGCTTCAGGCATATACGCAACATATATTGCCGACATCTATACAAGTCCGCGCTTCAGGCCTCTTCTTCGTCATCTCCAACTTGACCTTCCCGCTGGAAAGGAAGAGGGGAGGGACGTTCAGTCGTTGGAGTCCATCGTTTTCTTAAAAAAAAAAAAACAAAAAAAACCAACCCCATGGATCGAAAAAGCGGCTCATGAGAGAGAGAGAGAGAGAGAGAGAGAGAGAGAGAGAGAGTAATCGACATCGAACCGAAATAATCAAGTTTTTTAAAAGTAAAAAAAATATAATCGAACCGAAACTTTAGTTCGATCAGTTCATTCAATTTCGTGTAATCTGATAGTCATTAATGTGCAATTCGTCTAACACCACTCGTAGCGCATAAATTTTCAATGATTTGTCATAAAACAAACTTAAATCGAACCAAAATATTTTGTTTATTCAATCGGTTAATTGGTTAAGTTAATCGGAACAATTGGAATAATTTATTATATACATTGTAAAATATTTTTGTGTTTTAATATTTATATGTAATAATTTATATTATCCGTGGTTGAAAAGACATAAAATAAAGAATCAACAATATGATTCCACAAACAAGAATATTTTATATTTAATACTTTATATAGCTCGATTGGTTTTGTTATTCTGTTCTTTTTTTTTCGTAACTAAAGCCAACCCCGAACCAACACAACCATTTTTAATATATGTAAAAACTGCACACTCGCATAGCAACATTTTTTTTACCATGCGTTGTTATTGTGCCGAATGCATTGTTTTGCTATTTTGCATTCTCGAACCCATTGATGAACATTTGGTTTGACAATATTGTGCAATCTGACATACACTAATGTGCATCATGATTAATACTATTGTGCATTCGCTGCAGTGTTGGTTTTCTTATTTTTT